CTGAGGGCGTTGCTAAAGAAGGACGTGCTCACGTTCGCGGAGGTGACCAAGTATCGAGCAGATCGGTTCCAGCGACATCGCTGAGCTAGCCAATATCAACGTGAAGGTGGTGCACGCTTCGCTCAAGGCCCAGAGTGTCATCTACATTCCTTCCGGGTGGCTCGTTGCAGAGTCCATTGAGGTCGGTGCGATGGTGTATGGCGTGAGGAAGACGGTGTTGTTCAAGGGTGCGTGCGGGAGCTCCTACGATGAGCTCATTGGGGTCACGAGTGGCGACGCCAAACATCCGAAGCAGGTGGCCGTGTCAGAGGATTTGAAGGAGGACTCGTGATTGTCCGCTGCCTGCGAGCAGCACGCCAGGAGGGGAGGGAGATGCGCAGAAGAGGAGAAGGAGGAGGAGGAGGCAGATGAGGATGAGGATCAGGGAAACAACGATGAGGAAGATGGGAGGCAAAGTCAAACACACTAAGACACCGCAAACGTATCACCGCCCTTTACTCTTCCCCTCACTCTCCTCCATTAAACACTTTTCTTTACTTTCCCCTCGACCCCTCGACCCTCTTCCCATTCCGTTCGACATCCGTCCTCTCCAGCCAGGTCTCCTTTCACTCCCTCCCCTCTCGTCCTCAGGACGTCTAGTCCACAGTGCTTCTTTTTCTTGCCAACGCTTTTCCTGCAGACTGGGTTGAGAAGCAGAATGAACTCTCCGAGGTGCGCTGGGGGCAGTGTGTCGGTCGGCAAAAGCTCCGGAGCTTCGCCGATGAGTTGGGGAGAAAGAAGTATGATAATTCAAGGCTTCCGCCGATCCGCCCCGGGCCCCCAAAGGCTTCCGCCGCTTCCGCTGGGCCCGCAGCGCAAAGTTCAGAGCGTAAAACGGAATAGCATCGCATAGCGTAGCGCAGCATAGCGACGCAGCGCGGGACATAGCATTGCGTCGCATAGCGTAGCACAGCGACGCCCGTGCACAACAACACACTGTTTCACACATATAACATATAATAGCAACATGCGCGTGGTAGCGCACACATTTCATCGAATCGACCAGTTATCTAACATATTTGGCCCTGGCAGTGGCGAGTTGGCGAGATATGAGGTTATTCAGTTGATTTCCGAGCGCTTTGATAATAATTTTCCGAAATCATGCTATTACGCTAATTCCCAAACGTCCTAGGTCGCTGCCCTCAAACAGCCCTCGCAACCCCTGAACAAGACCTTCCGTGCAACTCAGCAGGGGAATCAGCCCGCTTCGCGAGATCACGCCCGAGAGTAGGTGGAATGAAGAGGAGCTGTTGCTGGAGTTCGTCATCCACCTGGCGCGCCGAGGCTGCAAGAAGGCGGGCGCCATCAAGCAGTACCTGAGCTCGGTCCGGGCCCAGCACCTCGCGCTCGGCATGGGAGACATCACGGAGGGCGCGGGCAGGCTCTAGATGGCGATCGACGGGCTCAGGAGGAGGGACGGCGGCACCAAGCGCAAGAAGCCGGTCACTCCCCGCATGATGATGTGGATTAGGCGGAAGTTGCAGCCGGAGAGGTCGAGGGAGGGCGCGGCTCCTTGGGCCGCAGTGGCCACGGGCTACTTTTTCCTCTTGAGGGCCAGCGAGTACGTTTCGAACGACCAGAACGGCTATATGGGTGGCAAGGGTCTTCGGGGAGCTGACGTTACCCCGAAGGCGAACGGCGAGCCAACTCGCGTGTGGGGCGAGGCGAATGAGGTCGTCATCAAGATTCGGACCAGCAAGACCGACCAGTACAACTTGGGCGAGTGGCGCAATCACTTCCGCATTGTGGTCGCTGAGGATGCAGATCGAGCTGAGCACATCTGCGTGGTGAAGGCGCTCGAGATCTACGCGGGCTGGGCCAATGAGAGGTTCTCCGGCGCGCAGATGTACGACCCCCTGTTCGCCTTCGACGACGTGCACCTGGTGACGCGGGCTGACGTCCAGCGCGTGGTGATGCAGTCGGCGGTGGCGGAGGGCATGGACCCGAACGACCTAGGCTCGCACAGTTTGAGGATCGGAGGAGCGTCGGCGCTCTATGCGGCGTTCAAGGACACCGCCTTGGTGCAGCGCTGGGGCCGGTGGAACAGCGACGCTTTCCAGGGATACCTGTGGAAGGCGCGCGGCATGGCAGAGGGGGTTGCCAGCAGCATGGCGGCCACTGACATCACGATGGTCTGAGAGGTTGCGCCGTCGCGTTGGTCTCAGGTTCAGAGCGTGTGGGCAGCGGGGGCCGATCAGGCCTGAGCTGAGAGCGCAGGGGGGCCTCGAGGCTGGCAGTGTGACATCAGGTGCGCAGCCGTGAGGGCATCTGTCGTGGCGGAGGTACCGCCAGGAGTGCTGGGTTGTGTGGGGCCAGGCCCCCCCACCAGTGCGCGCGGGGGCCTTCGAGGTGGGCCCCGCGGCGCGCAGGAAGGAGGGCAGGTGCCGTGGCACCGGGCGTTGCGGCTGTGGGCCGCTGGAGGAGTACGACGGGGGGTGCAGCGGCGGCAGGGAACGCCGACCGCAGAGCTCGCGCCCGTGGGCCGTACCGCGGGCGCCACCAGGCCATGAGAGAAAAAGGTGCTTCTCTCAGGAGGTTTGAGGGCGAGGAGGAGGATGAGGAGGTTTGTCGGAGGCGGCCTGAGGGCTCAGGGCCAGCAGGCCCACGCGAGCCCGATCCGCCTGAGGTTTTGAGGCGGAGAGTCCAGGAGGAAACGTGATCGCTTGTTAGAACAGTGGGTTTCCTCCCGCCTCGTAGCCTCCTCTCCTGCTGTCCTCCGCCGCCGTTTGCTCAGGGCTCCTGCGGAGCCGCGAATGGTTTTGGGGTCCCACCCACCCACGCCAGAGGAGGTGGGGCCCCAGCCGAGTTTGCTCGGCGGGCCCCACAAGGGGGCTCGCGCGCGCTTGCCGCATAGCGGTCGGCGCGGTCTTCGCTCCCCGCGAGGCTTCTCGCGGGGGGTGCAGCGGCGGCAGGGGGCGCCGACCGCAGAGCTCGCGCCCGCGGGCCGTACCGCGGGCGCCACCAGGCCATGAAAGAAAAAGGTGCTTCTCTCAGGAGGTTTGAAGGCGAGGGGGAGGAGGTTTGTCGGAGGCAGCCTGAGGGCTCAGGGCTAGCAGGCCCACGCGAGCCCGACCCGCCTGAGGTATTGAGGCGGAGAGTCCAGGAGGAAACCCCACTATGTTGCCCCCCCCCAGCAGCCTTCGAAAGTGGCGATCTTTTCGCAGATCGCAGCCTCCCAGGGGTGGCGAGGTCTAATCCGAAAGCGCGCCTGGCAGCCGCTATGCTGCCATCCCCAGCAGCCCTTTAAAGTGGCAGCAGTTTCGCAGTTCGCAGCCCCGCAGGGGTGGCGAAGTCAAATCTGAGTACGCGCCTTGTACCCACCATGCTGACCCCTCAGCATCCTTTGAACATGGCGATAGTTTCGCAGTTCGCAGCCCCAAGGGGAGGCGAGGTCTAATCTGATTCCGCGCCTTGTGCCCATGCCCCCCCAGCAGCCTTCGAAGGGGCGACCTTTTCGCAGATCGCAGCCTCCAAGGGATGGCGAGATCTAATCCGAATGCGCGCCTGGTACCCACTATGCTGCCTCCCTCAGGAACCCTCGAACGTGGCGACAGTTTGGCAGGTCGCAGCCCCCCGACGAGTGGCGAGGTCACGCCGGGCGGCGAGGTAGGAACCAGGCTGGTGGGCGAGAGGCAGCCTGGCAGGCAAATCCGGAGACGAGGAGGTCAGACTAGGACGGAGGAGAGGGGGAGGGAGGCGGGAAACAGCAGACGCGACCCCACTGTTCTTTTCGAACCGAGAATCCAACGCAAGAGGTTTGGGACAAATTGAATGGTGCGACGATTAGTTTGCATTGTTTTCTTTGCATGGCGTGGTAGGGGGGTTGTCAGCATCGCACACAGGTGGCAAAATGCCAACACTCCCGCCGCTCCTGCCCCAAATCGCTGCGAAGTGATCGCGGTGCGTCCGCGCATGGTGTTGTTTTCGGTGCAAAGCGTATTTGTTATTGTAGGGTTGTATGTTAACGTGGAGCAGCGATGAACCCCATCGAAAGGGAAACAAGCGTTTGGATGTGGAAACGCCCTAAACCACTTGCGTTCTGCAGGGGTGGTGCGGTTCTGGGGGTGGGTCCAAGGCCCGTTCACCTCTTGGGCCTGTCCCCTCGCGCTTCGCGCGCCCAGTCGCGCCCGTGCCTCGACGCGCGGCTTCGCTCCACTGCTCTATGCGCGGTCGGGTGCGCCGACGGACGGGCCGCCCTGTTTCCCGCGCGTCGGCGGGGCCACGACGGCGAGGGATTGGCGAAAGGCCGTCATTGAATGCCAGCCTGCGCAAGGGCGCGCCGCGGGCGCGCGCAGCGTGGAGGCGGTCTCCACCCTGGCCAGCCAGCCGACCTCCGCCGTCTTGGAGCTGGGCCCCGGATCACGAGCTCACGAACCCATGCTTCCGCGATCCGTGGATTCATTGTGGCGGAATTCGGGTTGGGGGTTACGGGAGTGTGCTGTGGGATGGGGGCCCCCGCCCGACAAGAAGCACCCTCTTGGGTATTCGAGATCTCGCAGCCACACTTGCGGCTCCCTCGTCGCCTTGCCCTCACACACTCTTCCGCCCTGTAGGGTGGGATGTGTTGTTCTTTCGTCAAAGGCGGCCTGACCGCCCCGCGGGGGCAAAGCTGGGCAGTGCGCCCGAGTTCGCGTGGGCGCCGGTTGGTGCCCCAGCGGCCGAGAGGCGGAGGCACTCTGCGAGGACGCAGTGGCGACTTCAAGGCGCACCTACGCGCAGCGAGGGGCATTATCTGCATGGGCGTGCGGCGATGGATGCTGGACACAGCTCAGTGGGGCGGCTCGCGGGGCCCAGCTATCCTGTCCCGTTGCAGCCGTGGTGTGCTTGCAGTGGCCAGCAACTCGCTTGCGACAGTAATTCATGCCGAAGCAGCTGCTTGAGCAACCTAAATCCGGCCGCTGGGGGCGGGCAGCCGTTTGAAGGATCGAGGTGTTTACTGCGGCCGCTTCACCACGTGAGAGGATATTTTCAGCGCGGATGCTGTCCGTCACTTTTTCGCCCTTCGCTTGCCTCGCAGCGCCCTGCTTTTCTCGTGTGTGTAGGGACTTCTGTACAGAGGCAACTCCATCCCTACATTTCATCACTTCGACTCGCCACTGACAATTTCTCAGTGCGCTTGGAGGGCAGGCCTTCTGAACTGATGTCCGCAGGCTTCGCGAAGAGGTAGCTCGCTCTTTTGGACTTCGACGAGTTCCAGGCCTAGTAGTCTCAGGCAGCCTCGCACGAACCAGCCGAAGTTCCTCAGGCGCGGGGCCCTGGGCTGTCCCAGCTGGCTGCTCCTGTCTGTGCGAGTTGTAGTGGGGGCTCGGCCCTGGCGGTAACAACATCTTTTCCCCGCGGGCCTTGCGGGCCGTCCTTTGTCAGCCGAGAGGTGTCGTGCAATTGCAGCTGTCTATATTCCCCAGCCGAGGATCTTCGGCGCGAAGGCGTCGCCGTGAGCATGTCTGCCACATGTCACTATTCGCTCAACGGGGACGTAGTGTGCTGCATTCTTGCTACCTCGGAGGCAGTCGCCTTCGCTCGCTGGTCATCACCATTACAACCTCTATCATCCCCATCCAGAGCTGTTTTTTGGTTCAGATTGCTTTGGCAAAGAAGTGCCGCCGTAGCTTCTGGTTCTGAAGCCCGACGAGTGGATACCCACTCATGGTCCGTTCTGTTTCCTTTGCGCATTTGTGGTCAGTATCGGCTTACTTACTATTGCGTCCGCGATGCGTGGCCAGTGGAGAGGACAAGGCAGGAAGCTGCGCTGTAGAGACCCTGGCAGAGCCGCTTGGGAATGAACCGCGCCGCCTTGCGAACGCCACTGTGGTTTTCTTGCATCTCGTGTCTGATGACGTTGCAGATCATTCTTTCCCCTTGATATGGCCGCACGGCTGCGAGCTGAAGTGGTTCCAAGACAGGAGGAAGAGAAACATGGTCAATTTCCGGCGACACTTGCCGGTATTCCAAGAGCGATTCTTAGATGTATTTAAGTATCCAGTCACAGTTCTGTATTCTCCATTTGACGGTGTCGAGGCGGACCTGGCTGAGATGAAGTCACTTTTAGCTGGGTCGAGCGTGGAAACCGTGTCGCTGCCCTCATTCGGAAAAAACAATTTCCACCCACCGTTACAGTACAAGTACGGCGAGTATTCCGACACGTGCCAGATGGGCATACTCGCCAAGCAGCGTGGTGAGTGTTTCATAGACTTCGCTTATAAGCAAATGAACTATCGAAGACGCCTGGAGCGAATCGCCGATGCCCCCTGACTTTTAGGATACACCTATGCAGCCCAACGTTTCGGCAATGTCGGACCATGTGTTTCCCCAGCCGTTGTGGAAGCCCTTTCTGGAGCACTTGGGGGAGGGAGAGGAGGATGAGAAGAGGTAGCAAAAAGGAGGTTGAGGAGAAGGATGAGGAGACCTGTTGGGAAGCTTCTTGGGTCATTCTTGAGGCCTCCTGGGAGCTTCGTGTGGGACTCTTCGATGCCTCTTGGGGGCTTTCTCGGGCCTCTTGGGGGCATTTGGGGCTTCTTGGGGGCCTCTTTGGCCACTTTACGGCGTTCCTGGCCACTCCGACGACGTCGGAAGCCGTCTTGGTAGCCTCTCTGGGGCCGTCTTGGGGCCCTTCTTGGGGCGCTTCACATCTTGGGCGTCGTGGAGGCCTCTTGGGCCGTGTTGGGGCCTTTTTGGGGCCGTTATGTGAGCCTCTTGGGCTCTTGGGCCGTCCTCGGGCCATCTTGGATGCCACTTTGAAGGGCTATCTTGGGACAATCTTGGAGGCCTCTTGGGCTGTCTTGGGCTGTCTTGGGCCGTCGGAAGGCCGTTTTGAAGCACATGCCACAACCTTTTAAACACCTATGGCGAATCATTGATTTTGGCCTCTTCTGGCCTTACTGGAGGACCTTTTGGAATTCCCTCGGGCCGTTTTGAGGGCCTCTTGGGCGCTTCTTGGGCCGTCTTGAGCTCCCTCGGACCATCTGTGCGATCTTGAAGGCATCTTGTGACCGTCCTGGAGGCCATCTTGGGGCCATCTTGGGCTCTCTTGGGGCCACTTTGCTTGGCTTGGTGGCATATTGGAGGCAATCTTTGGCCATCTTGGCCGTCTTGGAGCCGATGGGGCCAACGGATGCCGAACTTTGGGAACTCTTCGGGTAGCCATTCAGCTGGGCCACGATCCCACGGGGAGTTCTTTAGAAGAGAACCAAAAACCTGCCGGGCATTCGGCACGCCGTGCACCCCTGCTGCCATGTGGCAAGACCACAGGGGGCGGCGGATCGAAGACGCCTACGGTGAATCACCGCCGCCCCCTGCCTTTTTGGAAGCGCCTGTGTGGCCGAACGTTGAGGCCAGACCTGCCAAGCTAACGGACCATGTGTTCCCCGAATCGGTTTTGAAAGCCTTCGGGGAACACGTGGGCATCTTGAAGGTCATCTTGGCCGTCTGGAGGCCATTTTGACCCTTTCGGGCTTTCTTGGAGGACGTCTGGGAGGGGTCTTGGGCCGTCTTGGAGGCCATCTTGAGCGTCTTGGAGACCTCTTGGGCCGTCTTGGGGGCCTCTTGGGGCCGTGTCTTGGGCCTCTTGGGCGATCCTTGGGGGCACTTGGGACGTCTCGGACCGTCGGAAGGCAGAAACTTATCCCGGCAAAGCAACCTAACAGCGATGTGTAGGAGCATATCTGGAAGCATTCCCCTTACGATTCAGATGATAATCCAGTTGTAGAATTCTGCTGTTCTCGCAGTCGTAGTCGCATTCGCGATGACAGTCGCAGTGGCAACGGCAGTCGCAGTCACAGCCTCAGCCTGCCTCAGCCTCAGCCTGCCTCAGCCTCAGCCTCAGCCTGCCTCAGCCTCAGCCTCAGCCTGCTTCAGCCTCAGCCTCAGTCTGCCTTCAGCCTCGGCCTCAGCCTCAGCCTGCCTCAGCCTCAGCCTGCATCAGCCTCAGCCTCAGCCTCAGCCTCAGCCTGCCTCAGCCTCAGCCTCAGCCTGCCTCAGCCTCAGCCTCAGCCTGCTTCAGCCTCAGCCTCAGTCTGCCTTCAGCCTCGGCCTCAGCCTCAGCCTGCCTCAGCCTCAGCCTGCATCAGCCTCAGCCTCAGCCTCAGCCTGCCTCAGCATCAGCCTGCCTCAGCCTCAGCCTCAGCCTGCCTCAGCCTCAGCCTCAGCCTGCTTCAGCCTCAGCCTCAGTCTGCCTTCAGCCTCGGCCTCAGCCTCAGCCTGCCTCAGCCTCAGCCTCAGCCTCAGCCTCAGCCTCAGCCTCAGCCTCAGCCTCAGCCTCAGCCTGCCTCAGCCTCAGCCTCAGCCTGCCTCAGCCTCAGTCTGCCTTCAGCTCTCGGCCTCAGCCTCAGCCTGCCTCAGCCTCAGCCTGCATCAGCCTCAGCCTCAGCCTCAGCCTGCCTCAGCATCAGCCTGCCTCAGCCTCAGCCTCGGCCTGCCTCAGCCTCAGCCTCAGCCTGCTTCAGCCTCAGCATCAGTCTACCTTCAGCCTCGGCCTCAGCCTCCGCCTGCCTCAGCCTCAGCCTGCATGAGCCTCAGCCTCAGCCTCAGCCCGAGCCTGTTGTACAGGCGCTCTCTGAGCGGCTCCAGCGCAAGTGGGCGCTCGGGGGTGCGCCCTAGCCTTGGTAGGTTTTTTTTCGAAGCAAGCAATGATTTCATGGATGTCTCAAGCGAAATAAGCAATAATTTGAAGATGTCTCAAGCGAAACAGGCAAATATTTCGAGGATGTCTCAAGCGAAACAAGCCATTCGTTGAGGATGTCTCAACCGAGACAAATCATTGTTGAGGATGTCTCATAGAGGGCCAAAGACCAAGGGTTCTCAAGATATCTTTGGCTTTTTCCTTTTGATATCTCTTTATGCTGGTTCTGGCGGGCAACTTTTATTATCCCCCCGAAAACCCCGAACTTTATTATCCCTTAGGGTTTATTATCTGCAGCATGGGGTTAGTGTCTTTTTCTGGGCTTCCTGGGGCCCCTCTTGGAGGCCTCTTGGGCCGTCTTGGGCCAGCTTCGAGCCAACTTCGGCCATCTTGGTGGGCTCCTGGCCCGTCTGACGCCGTCGGAAGCCGTTCGGGGGGCCTTTCTGGGCCGACTTGGGGCCCTCTTGGGGTGCTCCAGGGCCGTCGTTGAGGCCATCTTGGGCGTCTTGGAGGCCCCTTGGGCCGTCTTTGTGCCCTCTTGGGGCCGTCTTGGGGGTCTCTTGGGCAGTCCTGAGGCCATGTTGGAGGCCTCTTGGAGGCTGTGGGGGCGATCTTGGGGGCCTCTTGGGCCTTCTTGGGCCGTCCGAAAGCCGAAACTGCGCAAATGCACAAACCCTTCAAACACCTCAGGACAATCAATGATTTTGGCCTCTTCGGGCCTTCCTGGAGGACCTCTTGGAGGCCTCCCCGTCTTGGAGGCCTCTTCGGGGCCTCTTCGGGGCCTCTTGGGCCGTCTTGGGCCAGCTTGAGGCCATCTTAGGCCGTCTTGGGTGCATCTTGGGTCGTCTTGGAGGCATCTTGGGGCCATTTTAGCCGTCTTGGAAGCATCTTGGAAGCCATCTTGGGCCATCTTGGAGCCGTCTGGGGCAGGAGAACCCACGGCAACCACCTCCGGACGAGCCTCCCAAACCGAGAGGGTCTAGCACGCCAGGCACCCCTGCGATGACTCGACAGGGGGCGGCGGATCGAAGACGCCGACGGCGAATCACCGCCGCCCCCTGCCTTTTTGGAAGCGCCTGTGTGGCCGAACGTTGAGGCCAGAAGGTTATCTTGGCCGTCTGGAGGCCATTTTGACCCTCTTGGAGGTCGTCTTGGAAGGCTCTTGGGCCGTCTTGGAGGCCATCTTGAGCGTCTTGGAGGCCTCTTGGGCCGTCTTGGCCATCTTAGGGCTATGTTCGGCCGTCTTGGTGGGCTCCTGGTCCGTCTGACGCCGTCGCAAGCCGTTTGGGGGGCCTCTATTGGCTCTTTGAATGCTCCAGGGCCGTCTTGGAGGCCATCTTGGGCGTCTTAAAGACCTCCTGTGCCGTCTTGGGGGCCTCTTGCGGCCGTCTTGGGCCGTTCTGGGGCCATCTTGGAGGCCTCTTGGGCGATCTTTTGGCAATCTTTGGGGGCTCTTGGGCCGTCTCGGGCCGTCGGAAGGCCGAAACGAAGGAAATGTCAAGATCCTTAAACAACCTTAAAAGGAAAGTCAATGTTTTTGGCCTCTTCTGGCCTTCCTGGAGGCCCTCTTGGGGGCCTCTTGGGCCGTCTTGGGCCAGCTTCGAGCCAACTTAGGCCATCTTGGTGGGTTCCTGGCACGTCTGACGCCGTCGGGAGCCGTCTTGGGGGCCTTTCTGGGCCGACTTGGGGCTCTCTTGGGGCGCTTCGGGACCGTCTTGGAGGCCATGTTGGGCGTCTTAGAGGCCATCTTGGGCGTGTTGGAGGCCTCTTGGGCCGTCTTGGGGCCCTCTTGGGGCCGTCTTGGAGGCCACTTGGGCCGTCATGGGGCCCTCTTGGGGGCCTCTTGGACGATCTTGGGGGCCTCTTGGGCTGTCTTGAGCCTTCGGAATGCCGAGAAGAAGCAAATTCCCAAATTCTTCAAAAACCAAGAGAACATCAATGATTTTGGCCTCTTCGGCCCTCCTGGATGACCTCTTGGAAGCCTCTTCGAGCTCTCTTGGGCCGTCTTGGGCCAGCTTGAGGCCATCTTAGGCCGTCTTGGGTGCATCTTGGGCCGTCTGGGAGGCATCTTGGAGCCATGTTCGCCGTCTTGGAGGCCATCTTGGCCGTCTTGGATGCATCTTAGAGACCATCTTGGGCCGTCTTGGGGCCGTCTGGAGCAGGGAAAGCCTTTGCAACCAGGTTTTGAGATCCTTCCCGGGACCCCGGCGGGACGCGCTGGAGCCCCAGGTGGAGTTCTTTTGGAAAAGAGCCAAAACTAGAAACGAGAGGATCTGGCACGCCAGGCACCCCCGCGATGAATCGACAGGGGGCGGCGGATCTAGTGTCCTTCCGGCAGCCTCTTGGAGGAAGTTTTGGTGTGTCTTGGGGCCTCTCGGGGGCCCCTCGGGGGCCTCAGGCCTTTCTGGGACCGCTGGGGGCTTCCTAGGTCTTCTGGGGGCCTCTTGGGGGCCTACTGGCGAAACGGGTGTCATCTTGGGGCGAAGGGCTTGAAATGTCAATCCGTGTTCCCCCTCTTGGGCCCCTCCTGGGACCGCCTTGGGCTGTCTTGGGGGCCTATTGGGGCCGTCTTGGGATTCTCTTGGGCCGTATTGGGGCCGTCTTTGGGGCCCATTGGGCCGTCAGGGGGCGATCTTGGATCTGATGAGCAGATGAACTATCCAGTGGCGCTGCCGCGCTTATCTGCCAGCATACG